AATTTTTGCAAAAACAATTCCGATTAAGCCTAAAAACAAAAGTACGTATAGACCGCCTTTATGATCACAGTATATCAAATGCACTAGATTTATACTTACAATCTTTAAGAAAATTTAAACTTTCACGAATGAAGTACTTTGTGAAGTACTTTGATGTACGTTTTGACTTCGAGAACTCTTTTATAAAGGAATGCTATCTTATCGTTTTTTAAAAATTGTATCAAAATTGTATAGCAGATATATAATTATAAAAATTATATATTATGAAATTACAATTGATAAACGTTTCGAAATAGTCATCTTCGTTATCGTGAGTAAGTATTGGGAGTCCCGTTTGCTTACAACTTTATTCGCACAACCGTATTGCACACAATGTATTGCACACACGACAATATATTCTACAATCAAATCCGGAAAGTATTGTGTTCGGTCTGAATTGTCCCTCTTTTTATTCTATTCGGCCGAATATCATTTTAATATCCGATAATATATTCGACTAAAATTTTATATTGAAAGTTTGCATTACTGATGCAGAATTCTATTCTTTTTAGAGAGAAAAAAAGTACAAAATTTATATGGTTTTAGTCGGTAATACAGACGATTTTAGGATTCTCTTAATTCGAAATTCATAAATCTTAATACATATATATCATTTACACATGTTTCTTACATATAATATTAAACTGCATGATAATAATAATTAATATGGTCATAGATAAAGAATAATGTTGGAAAATTTTCCGTAATTTAGTAGTAGTTCGCTTACGTAAATTTTTGCAGAAATTTTTGTTTAGCATGTTTATGAAACATTGATAAGGTTTCATTCTTTGCAATTTTCTGATAAATCGCTCATTAGTGTATTTATTTGTATTTATATGAGACATTTCACATCAAAAGTTTCTTTGAAATATCGTCATTTTTTTTAAATTTGCTGATACATTTTACAGATAAAAATATGAGACACATGTTTCACGAAAAAAATTTCTTTGGTGAAGCTATTCACAATTGTAAGAAATTCATAAAAAAACGTCGAACATTTAAATTATTATCATCGAAACCATTAGTACAAAAAATGCAAAATACCAATTTTAAAGATTTTAAACTGTTCTAGAGATGAGTTATTTTTAATTAATTATTTTCATATAAATAAATAATTTTCCATTTGTTTATTATTTTTTATTAACATTTTTTATCATCAATTCAATTTAAAATTTTGGTAGTATTACAAATATGACTAATAGAACAATTTTTTTAAAAACTATAAGTAAAATCAAATACAATAAATGTTGTTTAAAATAGAAGAAAAAATGTTGTTCCAAACAGAAGAGACATGAAAGCGGAAGGTATTGAAAAAATAGAATTTGAAGAATGTAGTATAAACGAAGTATTATATATTGTAATATTTTTGAGACTTCCACGGCTGCTTTCTATAAAGATTATGCGTTTCGCGGGTTTTCTCCGTGTCCAAATCCATTCTTGGAATGCCAACGTTTCAGGCTGCTCCTTGCTCTGATGAAGTGAATTGCAAGATTCAAACGCATAATCTTTATATGAAGTATTATATATGTCTAAGTATGAATCTTCTTTCTGTTAATTTGATTACTAAGATGGAGAAGTAATTTTTACTAAAGAATTAGTTAAAATAAATAAAATAATATTAATTAAAATAAATAACAAGGTCGGATTAAAAGGAATAAAATTATCGAATGGATTATTTCAAATTAGATTTACTCCTGAACATAAAAATCTTATTTGATAGATAATGGAAATTTAGCAAGACAACGGCAAAAGAAGCTCGGACGAGCATGATGCAATTAAACTGTCGACAAAGGACTTGGAAGAATATTTGTGAGATATATCAGCAAGCCAAATACAGCAAGATTGAAACTGAAAGATTGGAAGCAGAACAACTACTTCAAATAATTCATACAGACTTATGTGGTCCTATAGATCCTTGTACTTGGAATGGGAAGAAATATTTTTTAACTTTTCAAGATGACTACATTCATTATACTTTTGTTTATTTATTGGAGAACAAATTAGAGGTGCAAGAAATATTAAAGGAATTTGTAAAACGAGTAGAAGCTCATTACAATTTAAAAGTTTCTAAAATAAAAAGTGACGGAAGAGATATCTTAATAAAAATATTCAAATATGATGTAAAATAGAGGAATAGTAATAGATACTATAACACTATACATAGCTAAATGAAAAAGCCGAAAGGCTTAATCGAACTTTATTAGATAAAGTGCGAGCATTACTTTTTGATTCTTCTTTAAGAAAAGAGATGTGAGGAGAATTGATTGATTTATATTTTGAATAGGTTATCAATTAATGCAATAGAAAGAAACAGCATTTAAAATACGGAAGAAACGCAAGTTGAACTTAAAAATAATGCAATGATTTTTGGAAGTATAGCCAAGAATTTGGATTCTTTAAAGAAGTGGAAAAAAAAAGCAAAAAATTGATTATCATTGGCTACGCACAAAATGGTTACAGGAGCTCAAGAAGAGAGAAAGATAACAATAGCGCGAAATGTCATCTTTGAAGAATCTAATGTAAAGAAAGAATCAAACTCAAAAATTAGTAAAATGAAATTTATTCAAAAGAATGAAGAATCAGATGAGGAAGAAGAAAAGTGAAAATTGGGAATGCAAGAAATGATAATTTATGAATAATGCGAAAATGACAGTTTATCGAATTCATCGTTGCAAGAAGAAAGTCAAGATAAGAGGGCCTAAAAATTCGTCATTTGTTGATTAAAAAACGAAGTTCATATGGTAACAAATCATGACATTTTAATTTAAAATTCGACACGTTAGGATAAGCATAGCGACTCCTTAGATTCAAACGGTATGGTATACATATGTATTTTTCAATGTTTCGTAGTGAAAATAGATAGTGTACAAAAAATAACCGGTAATAAATTTTTTTTCACTCAAAAATTTACTTTACTACTACTTTAGCTTAGTTTGTTGGTTCCTTCAACCCACGGAAACGGTATGGCATTTACCTTCCGATTGGTTTTTTGAACCAAAACTAAACTATCACTAAAAACAAACTAAACAAATTAATGACGCTAGCAAGTAACATATTAGCAAAAAAGCAAAAAATTTTTTACAAATTCAATCATATGTCATCAATTTTAAAACCGCGAAAGAACTGCTACTTGCGTTTCCTTCATGTTTACTTAATAAATGACAAATTAATGATGGTTTCAGGTGATAACAAATGAAGTAACATTCTTGTATTATCATTTCCCGGACTAATACGCAGTGACTAATACGGAGAAAAGTGTCGCGAATATGTTCACTTTTCTGTACGCCACAGAATATAGTTCTCCATTTAAAAAATTACGATTTTAATGATCTCAAAAAAAGTAATTGGTCAGTTGGCTATTCTGAAAAGATATTTACGTGCATAAACTTGCATATAAATTTAATCTCGAAAAGTAAACATAATCTCATCTCGTTTTCATTCGTGAAGACGCAATTCTTTATTTACTATCGTATGTTCTATACTATTTCATTAAGATATACAATATAGTTTTATCCAATATTTAATATTTTATCCAAATTATATAAATACTCGTATTTGTAATTTTGAGTGGAGTCTAGTAAGGTAACACAAATTTTCGGCACTTTACTACGAATCATCTTAACTGACGAAAAAAAGTATATCAAAGACATAAATAATTTTTAAAATTACATATTATTAATTAAATTTTAAGTCACGTAAGATGTTGTATTAAATAATATTATAAAACAAATTAAATAATGTTTTTTATTTCTTCAAATGTTTATTGATCCATGGTATGAAACTGGAAACTCTTGTGTAAATATCTGGGTATCCAAGTGCACAAGGAGTACCAAAGGAAACGATTCCAATTTGAGATTTATTAGCCACCAATGGTCCACCAGAATCTCCCTGGAATGAAGATGCAATTAATAAAATGCCAATATTTATATATAATAAGAAATTGTTTACTGCAAATGTAGTTATAATCATTTCAGTGTTAAGGTGAAAGTGTAATCATGTTAACAACGATATGATTAAACTCATTATTTTTATATATTTTTATAATTTTTATATATAATAATATAATTTTGTTAATATTTAACGTTATTTATTATTTTATTGTTATTAAAAATATATATGTATCAATTTGTTTTATGATATTAATAATCGGCTTACGTAGCATGCTCCTCCTTCTTTAGTCAAAGTGCAGATATGGCTATATTTCAATTTTGGTTGTGCTGCCTTGCAATCTTTTTGTGGATAAACTATTAACTTAATTTTTTGCAAGTTATTTGAAGTACTTCCATCAACCTAAAAAAGATTGAATTGTTATATTGATAATCAAAGCAACTATCACATGACAACAAGCGAATTATTGTTATCAAAATGTTTTCTTATTTATTACTTTTAATGTGTTATTACATATAAAGAAAAAATAAGTTTTTCTAAAAAAGGATTCTTGGATATGTATAACTGCAAAACTTTCGTTCGTGAGTTTAATATTACCGAAGTAGTTCCCCATCCGATTAATGTGCATTGCTTGTTCTCGAGTCCTTCATCGGATGTCATAAGATTTATCGGTTGCACTAATCTCTTGTACGTGATAGGATTTTTAAGATGAACCAAAGCGATGTCATTAATGAATAAATCGTATTTAGAGTTGATGCTTACACTTTCTATATCATAAACTACTCCTGGTACATTCAACCAGTTTGTGCCAGCATGGACTTTTAGATTATTCACCAAATTTTCTAGACTAAGAGTAAAGGAGCATATATAATACTTGTATATCTAAAGTTGTTGAAAACAGATGTTGAAAATATCTGCTATAAATTTTATGCCAACAAAAACAAAATGCCAACAGAAATAATGTATTACGAATTACTCTTAAAATATATCAAACAAATAATGCATTTTATGATTATAATTAATGATAAAGAATACTTTGCTAACTAAAATTATCGACTAAAAGACTAATTTTAGTTAAAAAATTAGTTTTAGTATTAAATTCTGCTAAATATATATTGTTATAAATTCAGAATATTTAACTTACCCATGAACACAACGTGCTGCGGTTAATATGTTATAATTATCAATAATAGATCCACCGCATCTGTGGGTATCATTATATTTCAATGACACTTGATACGGAAATTCACCGATTTTAGCATTTTTACCGTTGACGATATAAGAAACTCCTTATGGACAAAAATAATTATGTTAATATATTCATATTATATAATGATATTAATAAAAATAATTATTTAATGTTAACGCAAGCAATATTTTACATTACTATATGTATACACATTTTTAATACAATTAAACATCGTGTCAACTTTATGGCTAATGAACTCGAGAAAGTTATAGATTTACTAAAAATAAAATTTTCTTTATTTACCATAAGTTTTATTAATCGTGATATATTAATTTTTAATGTTAAAATACATTTTGAGAATATAAGGAAATGCATGTATTCTCCTAAATTAGTTTTACATAATTAATTTTACATTATTAAAATAATTAATTTTACATAATTAAATTGGCAAAATGAAACTATTAATATTAAAAATTTATGAATAAGTCAAATACAGTAATAGAGTATAGCAATATTTATAAAAGCTAGGGACTTAAGTATATAACTTAAGTTATAATTAAAAATTTTACATATATACTACCGTTGAAAAGTTTCCGGACATATAACTTAAAATTGCATAATTTTCAGGTCACTGTAATTCGATCAAAAATCATCTGGAAAATCATCTTTTCGACGGCGGTGTATATGTATATATATATATATATAT